CTGAGCCATCTCCCCAGCCCCTTCAACACTGACTTTCTAAATTTCACTGAAGGTTTTAGTCAAGAATGATTGTACATTCAGTGAAAGCATTGATGAAACTTTGGAAGTTTCTTTCTTTAAAACATAAATTATGCAATATCTAAATCCCAGTTAGGCATGGAAGATCAGTATTAACATTGGATTTTTGTGTTTAATTGCAGATAGAACATTTAATATTTGTCAACATGCTTTTGCAAAAGTAAATCTTAAAGTACTAAGCTTTGTTCATATGTTCTACTTTTTGAATCACAAGAAATGACTTGTGGAGCTGGCCAAATAGCTCAGTGGATTAAACCTCTTGCAAGCGGGCGCAGGGACCAGAGGTTCGATCCCCAGGCCTGCCATGGCGGTCCCGCCCTCAGGCCATGCTGATATGGCAATTGAGACTGGGCATGGTGGCGTGTACCTGAAATCCAAGCTCTTGAGAGGCTGTAAACAGGAAGATCACTACAAATCCAATCTAGCAGTGCAACCCTGAACACTCTGTAGACCCTAAAATACAAAAAAAAAAAAAAGAAGAAAGAAAGAAAGAAAGAAAGAAAGAAAGAAAGAAAGAAAGAAAGAAAAGAAAGAAAGGAAAAACAGAAATGACTTGTATATTGCAATTTTTTTAACTATCCCCCAAAAAGTTAACTACTGTACTTGATCTAAGTTTTAAGATATGGGGGAAAATTACATTTTTTCTTGGGTTTTGCACTTTTTTCCCTTTCCCCAATGTTCTAGAAAGCTTTTGAGTTAAATGCAAATATTTACTTTGTTTCATTTAAAAAAAAATTTGTATCAGGGTTCACTGGAAGAACTACACACATACACAGCATGTGAAGGACTCACAGGGCAGGCTCCCCACAGCCACTTCAGTCAGGGCAGAAGGCTGTGAAAGTGCTGTCTGTACTGGAGAGCTTGGTGTTCAAGGGCCGGAGCTCACTGCAGAGTCCTGTGTAAGTCTGTATTGGAAAACCGAAGAAGCATCTGCACTGGAAACCAGAGACAGATGTCCAGGACAGTGGCAGCTGCAAACAAGCCTTATGATTGGTGCCACCCACATCTAGGTGGGTCTTCTTTCATGAGGAAGGCAGTTGCCAGATAAGCCAGGAACTGTGCTAAGTTAACCTGCTAGGCATTTGCTGCTCAAGTTGACACTAAATTAACTGTCAAAATTTGTGATATAATTCACATTCATCCAGGAGCTTTTCATATATTGCCACAATCTAATTATCTGTCTCTAAGTATTTGTCTATTCTAGGTGCTTCATGTAAATAAAGTCATGAAATATATGGCCTCTTTGTCTCTGGCTTCTTTCATTTAACATATTGTTTTCAAGGATTAATCATGATTCATGTATGAATCAGTAGTGCATTCTTTTTATGGGTGAATGATATTTCATCATGTGGTCATGCTACATTTTGTTTATAAATCCAATGATATTGGACATTTTGGTTGTTTCTACTGTTCGGCCAGTGAATAATGTTTGGGTATGTTTCCATTTCTCTTAAGTATACAACTAGGAGTGGAATTCCTTGTTCTTTTGTTAACTGTATATTTGACTTTTTGAGGAACTACCAGTAAGTTGTCTTTCTTTCTCTCCCAAATTTTTTCGAGACAGGATCTCATATATAGTCCAAGCTGGCCTCAAACTCGCAGCCATACCTCCCGAGTGCTAGGGTTATAGGCATGAGCCCAGCCAAAAGCTGATTTTTAAAAGCAGCTGCACCCTTTCCTATCACCACCAGCAATGTATGAGGTTCAGATTTTTCTGCATTCTCACAAACATATGACATCTGACTTCTTCAAATTCTCATCAACATGTGTAATCACTTATCTTTTTGAATGTAACCATATTAGTTCATGTGAAGTGGATATCAGTGTAGTTTTGTTTTGAATTTCCATTTGACTAACAATGTCTTCTCATGTGCCTATTGGTCATTTGTATGTCCTTTGGGGAAACACCTATACAAAGTCTTTGGCCATTTACAAATTTTATTTGCTCAGGTGTGGTGGCACAGACCTGTACTCCCAGCACTCCGGAGGCTGTGGCAGAAAGATCACCATGAGTTCAAAGCCAGCTTGGGCTACATAGTGAGGCTGTCTAAACACACACATACACACACACACACACACACACACACACACACACACACACACACTCACAGTTGAATTTTCAGTGTTGAGCTGTAAGAATTTTAAGTGTATTCTGGATACACATGCCTGTCAGATTATATGATTCCTAAATATTCTTCCCTATTTGGTAGGTTGGCTTTTTTTGTCATGCAAAGCACAAAATTTTAACTTTTAAATGAGTTCAGTTTATGTTTTTATTTGTTGCTTGTGGTCTTGGCAACATAGCTAAGAAGCCATTTTAGATTAGTCTAATTAAAAATCATAAAGTTACCCCTATGCTTTCTTTTAAAAGTTTTACAGTTTTAATTTTCAAATTTATGCCTAGAGTACTTTTTGAGTTAATTTTTGTATGCTATGGAGTAGGAATATTGATTTTGATGGGAAGGAAGTAGCAGTGAGACAGTTTGGGGGCAGGGTGGTGGGATGGTTGCAATTGTTAGTGCACTGCATATTGTCTAGCTTCAATCTTTTGTTTGACAAAATCCAATTGTCAGGGCCAGGGAGATGGCTAAGTAGAATAAGTGCTTCCCTGGCAAGTCAAGGGTCTGAGTTCAATCCCCAGTTCTGAAAAAAAAAAAAAAAATCCAGTTGTTATAACACTATTTATTGAAAAGAGTGTTAGAGTATTTCCCTCATTGAATTGGTGTGTGTGTGTGTATGTGTGTGTGTGTGTGTGTGTGTGTGTGTGTGTGTGTGCAGGGTCTTACTACACAGCTCAGACCTGTGGTGATCCTCCTGATTTCTGCCTCCCTAGTGCTGGGATTATAGGCATGTGCCATCATGCTCCGACTCCATCACTGGCTCAGCACGCCAGGGGGCAGGGCTGGCACAGCATGCAGTGGCAGGGATCGAACTCTGGCCCCTGAGCTTACCTAAACAAATGCTTAGTCTGCTGAGCTATACCACCAACTCTTGAATTGTATTTTTTTACCTTTGTAAAAGAATATATGCAGTGTATTATTTGTTGAAACTGTACTTTCGATTTGATTTAAAACTGTCTCATTGCTATATGTTTATCAATAAAACTTTGAAAAGAAAAAAAAAAGCTACAACTCTTGTTGCATAGGTCCTGCTTTACCTTGGTCTTAACCATCCAACACAAAAGTATAAAAATGAAATATAAGAAGTAAAGCTATGGTGTTATGTTGAGCTGTAGGGGACTCAGGTTAACAATTTCTGACATTGCCAGTCAAGCAGAAGACCCAATACTATTATGGGCTACTAGACTCTTTTAGAATATTTTGCTGAGTTTACACAACTATAATATTCAAATAATGGAACTTAACAACAAAAAGGGGATGCAGATGAATGTCCATTTTATATCTGTGTATTCAAAGTGGCTAGGATAGATATATAGTTACATTTTCTTAATGAATAGAGGGATTTGTTTTAATAGTGTTTGTAAATAGGATATCAAGTCGGCATCTTGTACAGCAATTAACCACTAGGAAGAATGTATACAATGTGTGAATTATTGAAACTGTCTTACTAGTTTGGTTTGAAACTGTCTCATTGCTATTTGTTTCTCAATAAATTTATGGAAAAAAAAGAAATTAAGCT